AAAGAAGGAACCAAAAGTAATAGAGAAATCGCCAAGTTAATTGGAGTTTCTGAGAAATGCGTTCGGACAACGAAACAAAACTTTCTTCACACTGGTGGTGCCAGTGAGAAAACGAGGCCAGGTAGACCCTTGTCAACCACGAGAAAGGACGATAGTGTTCTTTTTAGAGCTGTCAGAGCTAATCCAAGAATTAGTTACAAAGAATTGACCACAGAATTCAATACAACGCGAAATACATCTATTTCTCAAAGCACAGTCCTCCGAATACTTATCAAATACAAGATTGGAGTCTACACTGCTTTGAAGAAACCGCTTCTGCGTCCATATGATAAAAAAAGGAGACTAAAATGGTGTGGTGAAAGAAGGTATTGGACAATAGATCAATGGGAAAACATTATGTGGAGTGATGAGAGTATTTTTGAGCTTATCAATCGCAAATCTAACATAACAGTCAAAAGAATGGCTCACAAAAAGTATTACGCCAGGTACATTAGACCAACTGTACAAAGTGGAGGAGGCTCGATAGGAATCTGGTCATGCTTCAATTACAAAGGTGTTGGTATGTGCCAAACATACACCGGAAGAATCAACTCCAGAATATACGTAGAAGTACTGGAAAACAACCTAATTCCATCAATTGACCTGCTTATGCTCAATGATAAACCATGGAAACTTCAGCAAGATAGCGCTACTGCACATACTGCATACTATACAAAGGAGTGGTTCAACGATAATAATATTATGACAATACCGTGGCCTCCATATTCACCTGATTTGAACCCGATTGAAAACATTTGGGCTAGGATTGATCATGAATTAGCAAAGGTTCAAATTTCCACACTTGGTCAGCTGAAGGAATTCCTTAAGGAGACCTGGTATGGGGTCCCAGAAGTGATGTGCAAAAATCTTGTTGAGTCTATGCCTAGAAGAGTTCTTAGTTGTATTAAAGCAAAAGGCGGATACACAAAATATTGATTGGTTCATAAATTACGCCTTCTAATGTATCGTGCGTCTAAATTTATGAATAATTTTTTTTGTCTAATTTTTTTAATACCATGTAGTTGTACCTAATTATTACTTAGTATTTCATTTTTTTTGGTAAACTTTTTTTAAATTTTGTATTCTGTATGTATTTATCTGATAAATAGAAAAAAAACTAAACCGAAATCTTTTTTCGTCATTGTTTTATCGTTAAAAAACTAAAAATTTCTATTCTCAAATATGAGTGTGTCTAAATTTATGAAAACCACTGTGTATATATATATATATATATATATATATATATATATATATATATATATATATATATATATATATATATATATATATATATATATATATATATATATATATATAATATATATATTAGTCAAATTGTTAAATATTTTCCTTTTTTTTTGTGGATTTTTTTTTATTGATTTGATTTTTTTCATTTTCTTTTGTGATATTTTAAATTCTTGACTTGGAATTGCACAATAACCTGGCTTGATCAACTCATAACTGGAAATGAAAAATGGGTACTTAAATGATGTTTAATTACATTGAGTACAAAAACTTTTTCAATTTAATCAAAATTTGTTAAAGTCTGTACTTTAATGAAGTTTAATATTGAAAGAGTAGAAGAAGGATCAATTACTAAAAGCAACTCTAAAAGTTAACCTACACTCTGAAAATGTGATGGTTATAGCTTGGTGGGATGTTTGCATCATTTTGTACTAAGATATGTCTCCACGAACACTGCAATTACAGGAACAACCAAATGCATTTAACTTAACAAGCTTTAAGTTGAACATTACAAAATCCATGGGACAAAACTAAGTTTTCTTTCTTCACGACAACTCCTCACAACCCAAATTTAAAGTAACAATAATGATTGGAACTTGGCTAAGAAATGTTGTCTCATTTGCCTTATTTAATGACTACAGATAATTATTTGTTCAGATCACTAAGCATCAGCTTGCACAATAAAAATTCAATGATTAGGTGGCACATTGTCTGCACATATATCAATAATTTAGTTCAAATTCTATAGAGAAACATGCCAAAGACATTTTTTTATTGCCTAAGCATACTTTCAAAAAAGGATATTGTTATTACCTTTTTTAAATATGAAACAATTGAGTTGGTAAAACTCTTAACTGTGCTAAGAGTTTTAATAAAACTAATATAATTACTGCTAAATACTTTTAAACATGACCTAATAATAAGTTATAAAAAAATAATTACATCTAATTTGCTAAAATTTATTTAAAATCTTTATTTCAAAAATTTGAAATTACCTGCGCAACAGCAGGTTTTGCTGCACCCAAGATAATTTTCATTAATTGCACAGCGACAAAACACTGTGCAATTCAAAGGTTTTAAGTCAACATCAAGAAACGTTTCTGCACAAAACTCTTTTGATGTTACCAATCTTAATAGTGCAGTAATCAATACAAAATGAGACCGTTTATAACGTGAACTGTGAACCATCTTTATAATTAATCTAAAATACAGTAAACTATAACAAATCTATAGCATAATATGTAAGCTATAGCATAAAATGTATAGCATAATATAGTGTAATAGCATAATAAATAATAGCATAAAATGTATAGCATAATATAAATATGTCATAAATATTTAATAAAATAGAATCATTTTATAAATATTTATCAGTTGCCAATTTTAAAAAATTATATTGCACTTAACACAGCATTTAAGCAGTTTTTTGCATTTTTTAAAAATTTTTTTTTTTTTTATAGTCGGCAAAAGTTGTTATGGCACCCTCCCACGTGACACCTACTTGCGCCGGCCCTGCTCATAAGGTGTCACTCATATAGGTAAAAACTAGTAAATGGAGTGACACCTAAAAAAAAAAAAATGAAAAACAAAACAAAAAAATACAAAAGAAAATTTTAATAAAAATAGAATGAAATTAAAACAAAAAAAAGAAAAAAAAAATTAAAAAAAAAATGAAAGAAAAGAAAATAAAGCATTAATAAATAAAGATAGCATTAATAATTGCAATAATAATAATATAATAAAAATAATAATAATATGAATAAAAATATATCACAAATAGTAACTATGATATATATATCATATTACTAAAGTAATATGATAACTTTAATTAAAATTAAAACTAATGATAAAAACTAAGGTAATAATAATTATAGTAAAGTTTATAACTATCACAGAAATTATTGAAATAATCATAATATTTGCAAAAATTGTGTCAATAACCATAAAGTTATTACTACAATGTGTGTGTTTATATATATATATATATATATATATACATATATATATATATATATATATATATATATATATATATATATATATATATATATATATATATATATATATACATATCACTACCATTATAAATAATACCAATAAGGCTTTTAAAACAAAATTAAATTAATGATTATAGGGTAATGCCATATGAAATCCACTGTGCTCTCCTGAGACCGCCAGGGTAAATTTTGGTTTACTCAAATTTTTTTTTTATTACTATTATTGGGTTAAGTAAAGTGTTTTAAAATAATTTTTAAAATCTAAACTCACTTTTTAACATCAAAAATTGAGATTTAATGAATTAAAACATCGATAAAAATTACGTCATTTTAAGTTTACATCATCTATTCAAAACGGATAAAAAGACTCTATGTTACCGTAACTTACGGCAATATTTCGTAAAGCATTCAGGTAAAACATACATGTTTTTTGTCAAAATAGCTGAAGCAAGATGTTTAATTTGTGCTTGTTGTTTTATTGCCTTTGGAAAAGGATCAAAAAAACTTATTAAAGTAACTCCTGCAATACAACTCCATATTCAAAACTTATTTTGGAGAGAATATGACGTAGACAAAGAGTGTTGTCCGAAAAACATTTGTACTTCTTGCAAAACAAATTTATATGCATTGAACAGGGGTGAAACATCAAAGTTGAATGATAAAGTTGAATGTACATATATATATATATACATATATATATATATATATATATATATATATATATATATATATATATATATATATATATATATATATATATATATATATATATATATATATATATATATACATATATATTTATATGTATATATATATACATATGTGTATATATACATATATATATACATATATATATATATATATATATATATATATATATATATATATATATATATATATATATATATACATATATATATATATATTCACATATATATATACATATATATATGTGAATGCTATTATTGTATAAATTGTTGCAATGTTAATTCAATATTAGTGCATTGTTTTTATGGTTTACAAATTTAATAATATCAAAGTTAGTAATAAAATGTTGTCATACTTTTAACTTTTATTCAGGTAAAAGAATTTCCCATTTTTGCTGAAAGAGTGAGGCTGTAAAAAACCTAATTATGTTGGCAGCAGGTCTTGGAAATGTATCCAGTGAGCAAGTTGCTTCTGGGATTCTCAAAAAAAAAATGAAAAGGGACAATATTAAACCTGGAGGTAAGTTTCCTTTAAAGACGTTTTGGAAACAACCCTCTTGTTGTTGTTGGCACACCTGATAATAAAGAAAGCAGAGCATGCCTTAAAAATTTGTCTTTCGAAGCTATAATGGAAATCTCAAATACTCTAAACCTAAGTAGAAGAAAAACAGAACTACTTCGCAAAAATATGCGACAAAACTTAGGGAAGATGAAGTTAGAACCTAATATATCAACTCAGATTGAAGAGCTGCATAACACTTTGTCAGATTTTTATGATGTAAAAACTGAATCATTCATTTCAGGAAATGAAGAGATAAGTCGCAGTTTGGTATTTGTAAAAGATACTTCTGATTTAATTCTTCGCATGATTAAAGAAAGAAATTTGAATCCTTATTGCACTGTTGTTAGAATTTCAATTGATGCTGAACAGGGTTTTCTTAAATGTATTGTAAATGTTTTTGAACTATTATGCAAAAATACAACTTCAGAAAGTCTAGATAATTCTGGTGTAAAAAGATCATTGGTTTTAGCTTTAGTTGAAGATGTTTCAGAACATAATGGAAATCTTAGCAAACTATTGAAACCACTGGCGCTGAATGATGTAAAATATTCAATAGCATTTGATCTAAAATGTGGTAACTCTTTGTTTGGTTTAAGCAGCCACAGTGGTAAATATGCTTGTCTCTGGTGTGAAGGAGAAAGTACTCTTGAGAACGGAGAAAAAAGAACTTTAGGTTCATTTGATATTAATTACAATAAGTTTGTTGCAGATGGATGCAAAAATAATCACATGAAGGAATTTAAAAACTGTATTTCTCCTCAAATTGTATATCTCGATGAACCTTTAGAAACTTTATTGGAACATCTTATCCCTCCTCCAGAGTTACACATTTCATTGATATTACTTATATGTTTGTAAAAGTATTAATTACTTTGTGGCCTGATTTTGACACATGGCTTAAATCAAACTATATTATGTTTAGAGGTTACCATGGAATAGGTTTGGACGGTAACAATTCACAGAGACTTTTAGATAAATTAGATGATCTAGAAGTTAATCTTCTAAGTGCAGCCTCTATGCAGCCAAATATAATATTTCTACAACCTGTAGTTAATTGTCTTAGAATGTTTTCAATTATTAAAAAAAAAAGGTTTCAGCTCAGTAATTAGAGAATCTATTGCTGAATCAGTTTTAGATTTTAAAAACGTTTTTGAAAAACTGCAGCTTCATCTTCTGGAAAAGTTTAACTATGAATTAAATATTAGCTGGAAAGTTCACATTTTAGTGTGTCATCTTGTTCCTTTTCTTCATCATAGTCAGTTTGGGCTTGGTGTATATGCTGAGCAGGCAGGAGAAAGTGCTCATCACTACCACTATCAAGTATGGAAGCGATACAAGCGTCGTTTGGAACACAATGATTATGCAAAACAGCTTAAGAAAAGTGTAATTGTGTTATGTAATTGAATTGAGTTAGGTATAAACAATTTAAAGTAGCCATTTTCTCATTAAAAATTTTTTTTTAAGTAGATGTTGCTATTATTGTTAAATTTTCAATAATAATCAAATAATTGCTATTGCTTAAAAAGTATTATTATTAGAAATTTGCATTCCAGTTATTAATCTTTTTGTTACATTTATTGCATTAAACTTTGTTAATGATAATTTATGTGTCCATAGCTTGATCAAAAAAAATTGTTTTAAAATTGTAATACCCTATCCATTTTTTTTAAATGTCTTTTTTATAAGATAAATTTTTAAATTTTGGAACTTTTTTAAAAAAAAAGATGTTTTAACAGAGGAACTTTGGTCTGGAGGAAATATACTAGTATCTATTACCTACCACCCCCTCCCCATTTGTTAAAGTATAAGTTATAACTGTTTTTGTAAAAAAAGTATGTATAAAAGTTAGTTTAGATTTTTAAAATTATAAACCAAAATTTACCCTGGCGGTCTCAGAAGAGCACAGTGAATCATCCAAAAATAATAATTTTTGACACCCTTATGTCTCAGAATTTGTTCATTTTTACACCACTTGCAGTCCATAATAAAAAAATATTAACTGCATAAATTTTAGTCAAAAATATACATGGATTTCAGAGATATCATCAGTTGAAATAATGCTGACTCAGCATTTTAGTGATTTTCTGAAGCGACAAAAAAGCAACTTTGACATAAAGTATCTTCATAATGGCTTGGGGAAATTTCCTTAAATTTAGTACCCCAATAGATTTTTACTTGAAGAATCCAAAAATAGCACCCTCAAGAATCGAGTGTCTCAAGAAATGCCTCATTTATCCAAGTTTAATTGTATATTATTATTTCATCTTAGGTCTACTGAAAAAAAGTAGATTCATCAATTGTCTCTCTAATACTTGATCAAAGTTTGCATTTAAAAATGGTGTCTTTTTAGAAAAATTTAAATTTTGTAACAAAAGCAATTGAAATTTTTTTTAAAATACTTATTTGAGTAAAACATTAAATAGTGTTATTTATTGACTAGTTTAGGACATTTATAGTCATGGTTCAAGGGAGATCCAGGGGGCCTTGGATGAATTTCCTCCTCCCTTCCCCCCCCCCCCCCCCCCCTATCTCCATTTTCTTTTTTTTTCTTTTTTTTTTAAAATATAAAATACAATTTAAAAACTTTTTTTTTTGTTCAAGTTTGAGAAACAATTTATTTTCATTATTTCAAATTGGTGAATTAAAACCTCCTATTATATCAAAAACAAGCATAAGTTTTATTTTGTTCTTTTGAAAGATACTTTACTTATTTGTAATTTCCTAAAGAATGACTGTGCATTTTTTATATTTTATATTTTTTTGGCAGGTAATAAATAATAAAAGTATTTAATATGGAGAAATGTGACATTGGAAAAAGTCTTAACATTTATTGCCACAAAACTGGATTTTATAGAAAACAAGGTTTTGTTCAATTTAAAGATCTTCCATGTGAAAAACAAAAAGAAATAATATGGCAAGCAAATTTAAATGAAAAATATAGTTCAATAAG